GTTCGGCTTTAACACTGCGGCCGAGATCTGAATCTATCAAATCGACGAACGGCATTGAAATGGTTGTGCGGGCTGAAAACGAACAAACCCATTTGCTGCAACACAACCGTTTTCCCACGCTAACCGGGGCTGGCTGGACCACACCCTGCTCAAGTACGAGTGCAGCTGATCAGGGGTGACGGCAGCGTGACCATGCAAATTACACAGCTGCGGCTTAAATGTCAACTTTCCTGCCTTAAAATTGGAACTAGCCACAACCACAGACTTAAACTGAAGCGAATTCGGCGAAGCCAAAAATAATTCTATATAAACTTTTGTTGGACAGTTAACCCTGCTGCTGCTGCACAAACCTCAAAAAAAGAGATTCGAGATACTCTGGCAACGTGGGTTATAAATAACAAAAGTATTTGATGACTTATATTAAAACCAGTTAATGAAACATGGCCAATAACCATACGACTCACCAAGAATTGTGATAAATATAAAAAAACAAGTTAATAAATAAGAAAAATCAATAAGCCAAAACACTGATGTTTTGAACAGACATCTTGTTAATAAATGCTGTGTTTAGTCTTGCCAGCTTAATCTTTCAGGTGAATAAGAGATGATTTAGATGATTTGACTGCCAGAAGATTGAGTATACGATTAAGCCAGTATACTTAATCTACTGGCAGTCAAAATAATAGCTGTAGCTTTTTTAAGGGGTTAATAGTCCAAGAATAACTTACGTTTCAATTTACAAGAAATAGAGAAGCAAACTTCGCCTATTTAAATGTCATTAAACTCTTCGATTAATGTGAAACCTGTTGCTTTCCACGCGTGCTTCTTAAATGACATTGAAAAAATGAAATGCTGCGACTTCAGCATCCCACTGTCATTGGTAGGAGTAGTTGGTGCAGCTTTTGAAAACACGAACAGCAAAAACGGTGCGTTAAATTTGCCTTTTGGAAGCACTATAAATGTGATCAACAGGTAAATTTATGGCAAAACAACAATTTGGTGCGCATAGGCATTACACTGTGTGCACACGATGTACGGATGAATTAAAGTGCACCTATACTTGCAACAAATAGATCGGCACGGCTCTGCAACAGCGCTGTGCCCGTGGAATGAACGATCCCAGAAAGCTGTGCGTAATCGGTTCAGCTGTCCTGCCAGTCATTAAGCTTGACACCGAACACTTAATGAAGCTCCTAACGACGCAGATGAGTGCAGTTATGCAACCGCCGGGCACCACTAATCGATAAGCTCACATACTTTCACACCGGCCAATATTTTGTCACTGTGCGACTGACTGTGGAACAGTCTTTTAAGCGGGCCCACTGTTACGCACCGAAGTCAAGCTGGGGCCGGTGAAAGTGAAAGGTGAACGGCACACTTGGTGCTGAAAAGTGTTTGAAAAGCAAAAGTTGCTCCTCTGATGTTCCACAAAGGAGGAGTGCAGCTGACTGGCTGCAGCGTGCCCTTGGGAGTCTTCTGCGCTGATTCCGACTTTACAAATACACATATGTAGTAGCGGCTACGAAGCAAGAGCCAACGAAAACGGCATCCCCAACGGCAATTGCGTCAAGGTCGTTGCATTGTGCATCTTCGAAATCCAGTTTTTATATTTATCTACCCACAAAGGAGACAATAAAAAACAGCAACATGCGACAGCGGGCCTTGTTTTCGACCACTGATTTAAGGGATAACGTTTTTTTCTTATTCTTGGCTGCAGCTGCTTGGCTGCACATATAGTAACTGTAAAGGTATGGCAATTTATGGAAGTGACGGAGTGGCAGACATGAGTCCTTTTACCAAATTATAGTAAGACATTTTCCGCAGTGGTGCATAGTATTTACCTCTTGTGGTCCGCCTTCAAAATAATTCGGTTGAACTGAACTGGCCTTTCTAAAATACTTGTTTACGTAACCTTGAGATTTCCCATAAACGCAATCACCACTGACTTTCGAGAACAAGCTCAAGCGTTCCAAGATTCCTTATTCTACATTGAAACTCTGAAGCCCTTAATTCAGGTATTTGGCAATGGTAAAATGAGAGTTTGAAACTGCTATTATTCGGAGATGAAAGCGTTTTCCACCGTATAGAATGGCCGACGATGAACCACAGTCTGACTAATCAATTATAAAGACACGCAGCTCCGACGTCGGTCCGATGAATGCAACCTGCCGTAAATGTAAAACACGCATAAAATAATCGTAAAAATTAAAAGTTTTTACGCAACCCAACACACATCCAACTGCCAGTCTGGCACTGCTGCGGTGAAAGAAATGGAGATCCATTTTGCCGCGGCAGGAAAGGTGTTAGAGTGTAAAGTGGAGCAGCGGCATCGGGCGCCATTTAGTTCCACGGAGCGACGCATAGACACGTCAAGAGCTTCATTCACATCGGTTATGGATGTTGTCGGGCTGAGGCAATACTTCAAGAGATAGCTCATTGCGCAGCGAAAATAATTTGCAGCTTTTATACGGTAACATGTGCATTTCAAGGTGAGTAGCACCATTAATACCGAGCTCGTAAGGGCAATCGTTAGGTGTAGGGGAAGTTGGGTGTTGGGTGTTTGCTGTTCGCTGTTTGCTGTGCGCTGTTTGGTAGTCTATTGGTGCTCCTCGCACCGTGCTCAACAACAACTTCCAATTCAACGCAAATTAACTAGAGCCTTTCGAAACCCAGGGATTACAATGGTTATGTGCAAATGTATTCAGCTTGCCTGGGACTGGTTCGAGTACTGCTCGAAAGCGAAAGTGCACCGCTGTGCATGCAAAACAAAGTTGCGCCACTGCTGCTCGTGCATGCTCGCAAAGAGTGTTCAGGTTACACTCGAAACCTAGCCAAGTAATTTAATGACGATCTTCCGCATGAGCTTACACTTTCGCACGGTAAGCATTGACACCGCCTGAGGTAATAAACAGCCGGAGGCACAATGGTTCGGCAAAGGCGTGGTGATAGGTGAATTGGCATTGACACTTCGAGTAACGACCTATTATCGACGGATCACTTAACGCGTCTGGGCTACAGATGCTAAGCACAGGTGGGTAGGCCCCCTAATTTTTATGTTCTTTCAACAACTTTCGCCGTCCGGCTCACTGACTTGCCTGTCTTTCCACCAGCCTGCGATTTTCCCATGCAAACCAGTCGCACAACAGCTTATTTTGTTTAACAAGTTTTGATACATTTTTGTTAGCAGTAGCTCATGAAACAATTTCCGTTCGCCTCAGCCGAGCCAGCGGAGACGCGAAACAACCTTAACCTTCCGCAAAGTCAATAAAATGATTTAAAAATGTTGGTATATATCAATGAAATTAAAAGTCTTGTCATTGCTGTTTACCTCTTACCCTATATTACCATTATAGATATTTTAAATCATTTTGTTATGCACTTTTTCATTTTTCAGCATTGTGTCTTCATTAAAAATATCTGTTTGTCGGCCCGTTAGGTTTACTTTCTATCTCTAGCATTTCCCAATTAATATTGGGTCAAGAACCAAACCATCCTCGTATTTATTCAGAACATTGTATATATTGATTTCGTATAAGCTTGTGTCCTTTGAAGCGACCATTAATCCCAGTAAAATTTTAACAAGCAACTTTATCTATAAATTGTCTGTTTAGAAACTTTTTAGACCTTTAAATGAAATAAATGAAACTTTAAGGAAAAGCGAAAGTGTCGAAACAAAACGAATCGCTTTATGTGATGCATATTAAGTACGTGCACGCAATTTTTAATTGGTTGTGGTAAAAACGAATAACTTTCTTTATTTTATGACATCTATGACATAAAGAATAATGTAAAACCTCTAGCAACTTTTTAATATTGTTATTTGATTGATCTTTATAATTTACACGCAATCTAACCCCCTTTCCATTATCTCTTTGCCAAACTTTTGAATATTTAAATGTGGACAAACAACTGAACTGTTTTGCAAATTATTAACAGTTATTATAACCGCAATTTGCTCGGTTACACCGACACACTCACTCACTTAGCCAAACACTTATTTAACGCATTCGAGCCAGTGTGCTGTATGCAATTAATATCTATGCCATAAGCTGGTTGGCTGGTTACTGGCTGATTGGCATACCTTACATAATTCCATTACCATTACCCAGCAGTTCGTTGAGTGGACAACCCAAGCTGACCAATAGCTTGACACGGTTCGGCTTGTTACGCTCGAAATGTTCGATTATGTTATTGTTTGCTGGTAAATGGAGCAAGTGATCAAGTCATATATTTACCCACATGTCTAATTAGTTGTCTCCTTATGTAAATACTTTTACCCGTGTATGTATCTATTTACTTTTCCCCCGCGCCCGTTGACAAGCGACAAATCGCTCAAAATAAATATACCTTTTGGTCATGTCTTAGCAAAACAACTTGGTCGCCGGAGTAAGTGATGGTCAGCTGGTGGTTTGACTTCTTTTAAGATTATTAAATTTGACATCAGACTCTTTGTGAGTTCAGACAAATCGGCTAAGGCAGAGGCTAAAAACTTGTTTGCCTTTTTCGACGGGCACAGAATATTTCCATAACAAAAGTCCCGAATATGTTAGAGGCAAAGTTGAATTAGCTTTTAATTTATCTTAAGACTTAAAAGAAAAAGAGTGGCCCATGGGGGAATGTATTCTCTCCGACTCCTACTCTTACTTTCAGATAAAGTAAAATAAATTTTGGTTTGGACAGTAGAAAGCCGGAACTCACATATTGTACTGAATGCAATCGCTAGAGTAAATAACAGACAATTAATAAAACAACGAAGACATTGCGGAAATATTTTGAACTGTGTAAGTCCACAGACTTGGGTACCATTCTGCTGCACAAGCTGTTTAAATGTTTGCTCCCTAGAATTTTCACGATTAAAACTCTCCCTAGGTACCACTAGAATCTTCGTTAAGGATAGTGAGTGAGGTGATTCAGCTTTTTTGGGAAAGCCCATTTGTCGTTGGGTCTCTGCCAGTTTTGTTTCTCGAGGAGTGTCACTCATGCAAATGGGCATTACTCACCTGCTTTGAACAGCAACAGACATAATCCCAGCAGCCACAAAATGCTTAGTCGACAAGATGAATACTCCATGTTGCAGGTATTGCGCGTCGTCGTAACTGTAACTGTAAATTTTCTTGATGTGGTTGGTGCGGTTGCGTTTTGGGGTTAGTTCACAGAATTTAAAATACCAATAGGCAAGCTCTGGTCGAAAAGAGCTGCAGCACGGACCGACGGGGCCACAGTAGCAGCGGCAGTGGCAGTTGCCGTTGAGAAAAGCTCTGTTTGTTGCATACAATTGCTAAATATCTAAGAAGGCAGTGTCGCAATCTTTCAATTTAGATTTTTGTAGAGCCTTGTGTTACAATTTTCTTGACTATGGGTTTTGTTTCTGCCGCCGCTGCGGCTTTGGCTGCAACTGCGACTGCACTTTGCTGAGACGTGTTTGTATTGTTGTAAGTAGATTCAGTTGCTGCCCCTATTATTCGAGCTTTCGTTTGTGGCTTTGTACAACGCGACGATACATAGTTAGTTCACACACACGTTAACAGATTACAACACTCAGTTTTTCTTCATTGCTTTTGGCAAGCGTTTTTTCGGTTCGGTTTTAGGTTTTAGTTTTTCACTCGCAAGTTGCCATGGAAAAATGGCTTGGCAAAATGCAAAGAGACGATCAAGACGAAGATCAGATTTCCCATACGGTATTTGCGAGCAATACCAAATCGGAAAACAACGTACGAGCTAGTTTGGAGCATGGAGAAGAAAATGCGAAGCAAAATAAAACAAAACTTGCACGTTTTTTATTTTGTTTATTGATGCTTGTATATTTAGCGAAAACTTTCTTTTCAACGCAAAGTGCGCCTATCAACACACACGCTAGAGCTCGTTCACTTGACTACGAAATGCAGTTGATCGCACTTTCTATGTAGGTTTTTTGGGCGAGTACAATTTTCCATTTGGAGTCACTGTTAATATTTCGGCGCGTAAACAAATCGATCGGAAGTTAATCCAGCCACGAAATTGGCTGTGGCTATGCCCAATTGTTTTTAAAGCTTAACAAGTTCGGGTGGCCCTCGAGAGTCTATCTTACCGTGCGCCTAAGCGAACCACACGTCCTAATCGGAGCAACTTTACAACGCGACTGTGCGGAGCAAGCGTGTTGAGGCACTCTGCAAGCCTGAGCTGCCATTTGAGTCGATCTCTGCTCTCTCTGCTAGTTGCTAGTAACAGACTGCAGCCTTTGAGCCTCTCTCTCACTCTCCTCTCTCTGTATGTTTCCGGTAACAGTTCGCTTAAGCCGCTGTTGCTCTCTTGAACCCGCTCAGGCGTGAATGCTAGTTTCCAGTAACAGATTGCAGCCTCTTGAGCCTCTCTCTCACTCTCCTCTCTCTGTTAGTTTCCGGTAACAGTCGGTTTAAGCTGCTGTTGCTCTCTTACACTCGCTCAAGCGCGAGTGCTTTTGAAAGTAAGAGTAAGGCTGGTGCTTGTGTAAACAAGACTAACTTGTAGCAAGTGGCTGCTTCTGATCTTTCTGGCGGCTTGGGCAAATTATTTTACACCAATTACATTGAAATTGTAGCCGGTTTTCTTTTTGAATCTGAGTGCTTGACTGAAAATGTAACCCACAGTGCCCAATCATTTGCAAACCAGATACTGCCACAAGGCGACTTAGTTTGGTAGTTTTCACTAATACCAATGAAAACATTTACACCACCAAGTCTGCTGCAACCTGCACCTTCTCTCTCTGCAGCCAATGAGGGTTGGCCTGGCTGGGCAACTATCAATCATGGCGATTGTGAAATATTGTTACAATTTGAATAACTATTTAGTTTAAGCAACTGAGGCTGGCAGTACACTGGCTCTTGCTGGAGCGGATCAAAAAATAGCGATTAATGAATGCTTATTTGGCGAAATTGTAGCCGATTTCAGACACCTCTCGCCAAGAATCGATCTGCCCTGCTGTTGATTGTCCTTGATGGATTCGATATGCCATGCCCCGCGCATAGCTTACCGCTAGCGTTTGTCCAACGAAGACAATTTCGAGCCAGAGAATTGAAAGTGAAACCAAGTTGGAAGCACGGCAACGACCAAGAACTGGGCCAAAGCAGCCAACCAAAGCCAGGCCTTAGCAGCAAACACCAGTCCGAGCTCCAGTAAGAGGGGCTCCGGTGAACGGCTGCCCGACATGATGGCTTGAGCAAGGCACGAACATTATTATATTTCTGCTTTAATTTATTTATTGGTGGATTGTGTTTCACACGATTATTTCGCGAGTCGAGGGCGAAGCGTATTCTACCTTAGTAATTTTTACTTTGCTAGGAAGTCTTGTATTTTTTACAGTTCAGCCGCCACGAGGCCACCGGAGGGCCTTCAGAATCATATTGTTAAACCTGCGCTTTTAGAATTTTAATTTAATTTTAAATTGTCCAAGAGAAAGTTATAAGTAAGTGGCAACCAACGTTGCGTATAAGTGATGTGTATACAGATTGATGTTTGTTCAAACTACTTAAAGTTAAGTCCCCCTTCCCGCGAAGCTGTCGTTGTTGGACAGGTGGTTATTAGGTTAAGTGAACTATTTCACAAATTTTTTAATGTGGTCTTATGTCTTAATTACAAAAATGAGCCAACAGTTGGCAGTCAAATCTTTATGAGTGCTTACAAATGTCCTACAATTAGTCGTTTGTTGTCCCTCCAAGCTTAGCTTTTTGCAACTTTTTTGACTCCGTCCGTCAGCAACGCAAAAATGCTAGCCATTCACTTTATAAATGGGCGGTGCAAATTTATCAACGCTTAATAATCCCGTTTCCGTCTCAAATTATTTTGGCTCCTTTTTACTACTATTTAAACGTTTTTTATACCACACAATGAGCCCAAGGGAGGGCATTGGTAGACATATCTTCATATACGTTGGGCTACAAATTGATACAGTATGCGAGTAAGCCGAACAGTACAACTTGGCCTTCAAAACTTGGACACAACTTTTTCTATAAAGAGCTTATGGACTAGTAAGCCTACAAATAAACACATACACTTAATTACGCATGCACTCTAAATCTTTTAGGGCCTTCATTGAAACCAGAATCCATTGTGTTCGGCTCTCGAAAAAAAGGAGTGCTGCACTTAAAAATGAGATAGCAATCTGGCTTCGACAAGACACAGTTTATATACCCTTACAGGTTAATATGAAATCTCTTAATACACTATCTCTCCAAAAAATTTTTCGTTACGAAAACTCCTTTAGTTTATCCAACGCTTATGATTTTGCTATACTGTTCACTTTTTGTCCCTAAAATCAGGTTTATAGAATAACGGTAGTACCGATAAACAAACTTATAACAACGATCTAAGGAATGGCTTGCCCTGATCATTTTTAACTTCCGTTCCTTGTTTCATTGGCACAACTGTGATAGCAAGTCTGTCGGCGACTCAGTGTTTTTCTGCCTTTCAATTTGACGACTGGCCCATGGTAGAGTACGTAAATTGAGTTGCCCTTGTCCAGACAATTCAACTTTGGCTATTCGTAGTCCAATTTATTGCAGCCATTAACTTGGTGATACGCAAAAACCGTTCGATTGTCATGGAATTCCTTCACATACAAGCTCACGTTAGCTTAAAGGTTTTGTGAAGCATTATAGAAATAAATTTGAGTTAAATGACTTGAGTTTGCACGCATGTTGTTCGCCTTTCTAATTAAATTAAATTAATGATGTATGATTCGAACACAGCGAAGACCATACAAGCCAAAGTCACGAACCATAGGCGCACCTGCCAATCAACCCAAGTAATTTTACTTGCAACTCAATTTATCTAAAAAGAAAAACTAAAACTTAAAACGGCTTATTTAAGGCACCAAAAAATCCCCTTAGTTAATAGATAACAAAAAAGGAAGCTAGCTACGGCGGGCCGAAGCTTATATACCCTTGCAGTCATCATAAAAGCCGAAAGAAATGCATAAAGGCTAACCAACATTGAAGTAATGACGATTTTTCTATTTATTTTTCCATATATATTCACCGATTCCTATTTAATTTAATTTAAATTTATTTATATAAAATCTATTAAACCACATTACTCTAAAGGTGTGGTAAAATTCGATACACTTTTAGCACACCAATTTTTCGGAAAGTTGCAGGGCCGGCGGAAGGTGTATACCGGGTGTTGAGCACTCCACACGCCAAATCTTAGCGGGTGTGGAATTCAACACCCCAAAATGCTTGACTTGTAGAAAAAAATTTATTTACATCCATTATTATCAGTTGAATGTATGATTCAAAACTGTTTCTCCGGCCCTGCATATAGAGTATATCGAAGAAAAACGAAGAGAAATCCCGCCTTTACCACGGCCCAATTAAATCAGTCTCTATTTAAATAGATAGATAGTAACTCTCCCAAATACTTCCCAAGTTAAGCTTTTTCCAACTTAATGTAAAAACTACTTAAATAATTATGAGATTATCATAAATAAATCTTTTCAGATTGGTACTTACTCAGTTAGCTCCTTGATCTGCACTGCAATCTTTCGTCTTCTTGAAGTAAGATAATCACCGCAACCACTTTTTTCGCAACATTAACACTTAACACTTTACCCTGAAATTAAATAAGAAAAAAAAATAATAATAAATAATTTGTTACAAATAATAATAGTTAGAATTATTTTGTTAGTAAAAAAGGTATTTACCTCTTTGGGTTTTTTATTCACTGCATCTTGAAGTTCACTCCAAGCAGAACGGAATAGTCATCACTGTAATGAAAAGAAGCATTCCAAAATATTAGTTAAATTATTTTATACAAATCGGTTGTTTAAAAAATACATACCCCAATGAGGTGATGCACTGCATCCTGGATTGGAGTTCAATAAGATAACCACTGCAACCACTTTATCCGCAACATGTACACTTTACACTTTACCCTGAAATTAAATAAGAAAAAAAATAATAATAAATAATTTGTAACAAATAATAATAGTTAGAATAAATTTGTTAGTAAAAAAGGTATTAGTAAAAAAGGTATTTACCTCTTTGGGTTATTGATTCACTGCATCTTGAAGTACACTCCAAGTAGAAAGGTATAGTCATCACCTGTAATGAAAAGAAGCATTCCAAAAAATTAATTAAATTATTTTATACAAATCGGTTGTTTAACAAATACATACCCCAATGAGGTGATGCACTGCATCCTGGAGTGGAGTTCAATAGAAGATCACGCCATTCATAATTGATCCTGCAGCCTGTTGTCCAGTCCATTTATGTGGTGTCAGCATACTATATATTTCCGGTAACCGCATTCTTACAACTATTACTATATATATACTATATATATTTATATTATATGTCCCTACTTGTTTACAATTATTAATTGTGTTTGATTTTCATGTACTTCAAGTTCAATATTTGATAAAATTTACCTTTCAAATTTCTTTCATGTTCTTGAAAACTTTCAGATCTTTATCTATTTCTTTTAGTTTCTTTGTCAAAATATTTATGATTTTTTAAAATATATAACTTAATTATTTATTGTCTAAAGGATGTACTCACTGCGTAATAACTTTGGTGCAGTGCATCCTGATGTCGAACTTCAAGTTACAAGTTGGATGGTGTCACCAATTATTTTCTCCAATCAGCCAAATACACAACCAAAAACCTGAAAAAAAAATATAAAAAAAATTGAATTAATTAACTGCATTTTTTTTACAAAAGCCACGTCATCACATAATTAAAAAAAACTGCAACTCACCTGGTCAGGTTTGGACGCCCTGCATCCTGGAGTCCACTACATGCAGGAAGGGATCGGGCACCTTTAAGTTCATGCCAAGTCAGGTCATGATGCAGTGCATCCTAGGAGGAGTCGACCCATGGTGCACTGCATCCGGGAGTGGGCTCCAGTAGGTGGAGTCGACCCAAGATGCACTGCATCCGGGAGTGGACTCCAGTAGGAGGAGTCGACCCATGGTGCACTGCATCCGGGAGTGGACTCCAGTAGGAGGAGTCGACCCCATGATGCACTGCATCCGGGAGTGGACTCCAGTAGGAGGAGTTGGCCAGATACTCTCTCCCACTCTGGAACCACGTCACTAACACACACGCACACACACACTTCCAGAGACCGGAAAAAGTTTCTTATAGAAACTGCCGGTCATCCCGGAGAACTGAGAAATTGGCCAAAATCAAGGGG